GGGGAGGGGAGGGGGGTGATGATAGTTAATATTTTTGTGTGACTGCTATATGTCAGACCCGCTAACATCTTAGATGCTTTTCTCATTTAAATTTGAAATAGAGCTTCGTATTTCTATTTCCCTTTTACAAATGAGGAAGCGGAGAATCCAAGAAGGGAAGTCACTTCCATGACGCCCCGCAGTTTGTACCTGGTCAGCTCTGACATGAAGCCAATTCTGCATAACGGGGGCCTCTCATCACATCCAGGGAAAAATTGAGACAGGGATACGTGGGGGCCTGCGGGAGCCAGTCTGAAAAATACTCACCGCTGTCCTTTCTCAGTCTAAGAATCGGAAGTTTTAGGTCATTGGAGGTTACAGCCCCGCCGTCTCCCCTGTGCTCACTGTAAAATCTGAAAGAGAAAATGAATGGACTGAGCAAGAGATGCGGACACAGCCCCGTTTGAAACCCCTTCCCCAGTGCCCCTGCGGCCATCAGATACTGAGCACCCTCCTCCTGCCTGCAGGGTGTACCTTGGTGATGATTCCTGCGTTCAGATCCCAGCTTCACCACTGACTGCACGGGTGCATGGATGCCTCTTCTTCTCAGCTCCTTCCTCAGATGAGCGAAGATAATCACAGCACCCACCACACAAGTTTTAGGGGGTCAAATGCAAGCATCCATTTAATTCTTAGCACATAGCATGCTGAGTACTAAAAGCTCTGTGCAGGTGAGTGATTTTATTTTTATTCTATGGTTAGCAAGATGGAAAACAATCTTTCTCCACTTTCCTTTCATATCTGAAATGCGTGACTGTGCGAGGGATGAGCAGGGTCACAGGGCACCCACCTCAGGGGTGAAGACACCCAGATTTCCTGAGTCCAAGTCCGACACCATGAGGACAGAGAGACAGGAGGGCTCGGCTCTCCCCATCTTTCAATTAAAGCTGTTTTCCTACTGCAGAGTTTTACTGAGCAGATCGACACTTATTTTTTCTAAATCAAATCTTAAACGGAGACCCCTATATATAAGCAGATGAGAAGGACAGTTCCTTTGTGTGAAGTCACAGTTCTCCCTCTAATCCCCTTGGCCCAACCAGAGTCTTTAGATTCTGGTAAAACCAGTTTAAAAGCCATTAAAGTACTCTTGGTTCCATACGTCCTGCCTTCAAGGTCAGAACCACCTGCTCCCCAAGGAAGCTGGCAGGAAGAAGCTTATGTTTCCAAAGCCATGTTGTGATCATTGTTGTGTTGACTGCTGCTTTCTGTTCCTGAAACTATCCAGTAGAAATGTATGAGGCGTGATTAGGCAACCATGTATTATACACTGAATGGAATCAATGAGCCGGGGAGTGGAGGGTGGATGGATGGATGGAAGATGGGTGGGTGGTTGTGTGAGAGCTGAACAGATGGACAGATGGATGATAAGTGGATGGGGACAGATGAAGGAATGGATAAATGGGCGGACAGACAGACGGAAGACAGGTGGATGGATGACTAAATGACTCAGCAGAGAAATGAACTGCAGCAGGTCAAGCCGCCCATACCAGCACTGATAGGGTCCTCTGTAGAGGGGACACAGACCCAGGCAGGGGAACAGGAGAGAGAGGACGTAATGGCCATCGGGCTCCATGGCCGGTGCTACCTCACTCGCTCCTCTGGAAAACACTTGCGGCTCCAGAAGCGGGGAGCGCTTACTCCCCTTGACAGAGGAGGAAGGTAAGGTTCTGGGAGACTCAGGAATCTGCTCACGGCTCTGCAGCGACAAAGGGACAGGTCAGATCCTCGATGTGACACCACCATGCTTTCTGCATAGAGGCTTTCCACCTGCAGAGAAGCACCCAGAAACGTGAAAGAAAGTTATTCCAAGAAACACAGCTAAGAGAAGGAAAGGAAAAGCTAAGGACCCAGAGTAACACTGATGGGCACTCTGCAGACTGGACCTTGTACATCGCACATGTTCTCTGGATAACGACCCTGAACCCAAAAGGCTGAGGATTTTAACTTTTTTTTTTTTTTTT